ACACGGCGGATGAGAACGACCCAAATTTGAGTTTAGTTCACTCATAATCGCCAAAAGTGTAGGAACTCAGCGATGAGTAAATTTGTCTCATGATTTCGTGAGGAAAACCTAAAAAATCTACCAGAAAATGAGGAGATTGACGAAAATTTTATTCAGTCTCGGAGTAGTGCCAATAGACTGAGTGAATCCAATCTTTACTTTTCTCAAATTCGGGAATTTTTCCCTGGAAAATCCTGGAAAAACCTGGGAAACATGAGGCAAATTTACTCATCGCTGAGTTCCTGCACTTTATTTCTTATTTCTGAGTTAACTAAACTCAAATTTGGGTCGTTCTCATTCGCCGTGATAGATATCGGCGTCTGTGGTTAGCGTGATTACCTCTCACCCCAGCAGGCCTGGGTCCAATCTCAGTCAGCGCCATCGGCATGTTCTAAGGCATAACATCTCTGGGAGCTGCCTCCCTGGCGTCGATAGCATTGGAGCTCAGTACGGAAAACAAATCTCAAATTGCAATAGGTCCTATCTACATTGATCGATTCTCTTCATCGACACTCTCATTCGTAAATAACTTCACAAATCTGGATCAACAATAGAAAAGAGCCCATCAGCATTTGTAAACAAACCGTTCCAAAGCCCTTTACTCACAAAGCGAAGGCCACCCACACAAACCAACACCATCATCGGATAGGGGAAACTTCTATCTACAAGATGTTGGTGTTGGTTTGTGTGAGCGGCCTTCGATTTGTGAGGCTTTGGAACGGTTTGTTTACAAATGCTGATGGGCCCTATTCTATTGTTGATCCAGAAATGTTTCCTGACGTCTTCGTCGAATTAGATGCTAGATTGTTGCTTCTTCCATCGAAAATATCCGGCCGTGGCGATTCAAAGTTGATCAAGGTTGATCAAAATAATTTGTATCCCTGCTTCCAGTTTGATTACATGAGCATTTTGTGTGGTCGGTGGTTCTGAATATGGACAAACAGGCAGATGAATTCTATTCCTACTCTTTTCTGTAATAAGCTTGGTGGCCCTGAAAAGAGCCGTTTTGTTTCCAATGTTGGTGATGATTTAACCTCCGAAACCAAACAGAGTGCGTCTCTGTCACTTCAAAAACGTAGATGACATCCATGGCCGCTTACGCTTGGCGTGTTTAGTGTAGGTGACAGCATCACGGATCTCATTTTTCAGGAACACCTTCAGCACACCTTGTAGATCAAACCGGAGATACGTCAGAAACCGCCACGGCAAGCCAGACGACGGATGGTGGTTATCTCGAAGAATTTGCGTTTGGTTCTGAACATGGCGATGAGTGTGTAAAGTATTACGCAATTCCACCCTCCTATTCGCACGCGCCCGAGGATCGGAGGCGAATGCCACTTCGACTTGTTTCGTCTACTTACTACTCTCTGACGACTGTGCTGGGGAAGCAGCATATGCATGTAGGTAATTGGTGGATTTATTAGTTAATTCGACGCTTTTGGACAATGCTGAACATTTACCATTTTTTCAATAGTTTCTTGTTGAAAATCAACATTTAGAAGCATTTTTTATCAATGCGTAGCCATATTTCTGATCGATTGGTGATAAAATTATTGAAATTGGACCAGGGGCAGCTGAGTTATTAACGTTCAAAATCTTTCTTAATTTGTTACATGTTCCATTTTCGGTTTTCACAAAGTGTACCCCCATATAGAAATCAAAGACGTAGTCCTACGTCAAAACAAGCTGAGGAATTGCATCCGTCTGCTTTCGACTTCTCATGAACGACCAAAACGATTTAGGATCGTTTTTGATGTTTTCTTCAGTGCTATGAATGTAGCTGCTGAAGCATCGCGAAGGCAGAGTTATAATCGCTCTCCAATACACGCAGTTCAGTTTTGTGCTGTTCGTCCCTGGAACGAAAATAACGTTTCCTGGCCTTGTTATCTGAGAAGACTTCGTTTTCTGAGCAAAATTCTGAAGAGAGTAGGTTAATAGTTCCGCTAGAGTTGGGCAGTGTGAAAATTGAAATGAAGTTGAAAATGGCCTAATGCGACAATGGATGAGGAGAATTGGAGTATTTCTTAAAATCTACAGGCAAAAGAGTGTGCGTTTGACTTGCTCATATACTGTCTGCGGCTGTAGAATAGTTCTAGCGACGTTTTATCACTCCTACAGCCCCAATGAGATATACATAGGTAAAGCACATAGCTACAGCCCCACGTGTAATAATGCAATTATTCTTTACTCAATTGTTGTGTTGCTCCTCTCGTCATGACCAACGTAGTCTCCATTATCAGCTTTGTCGCTAGAACTATTCCACAGCAGCTGACAGTTTATGAGCAAGTCCAACGCGCACTCTTTTGCCTGTAGATTTTAAGAAATACTTCAAGTCTCTTCATCCATTCATGTATCAGTTAGGTAAGGAAGTGTGCGTTTGACTAGTAGTGTCACATTAATGGCCCTTCGCTTCAATTTTCACACTGCCGTACTCTAGCTTCATGTTGATATTAGATAGCATTTCCAACCAACTCTCAAGATTTAAAGGAAAATAAGCACTTAACCGTTCGACACAAAACTAACAAATTGACAGCTTGCTCCCATACAAAGTACCACCAAGGGGCGCTTAGATGGTAATTTTTGCTAATATAATCACATTTATTTAAAGTACCCTCCCCATGGACATGGAGGTTGACGATACTGAAGCAAAGGGTTATGTTTAATTTCTTTATATTTGCAACGATGATGATTTCCTATAGAGACACATATCACCTTCTTAATGCTTCAGTTTGCCTCAAACGATTAATTCTTGGTTGTTAATAGAACTTCCTTGATGAGATCGGCTGCTTCATGCAGACTGAGCAATTCTGATTATAATATCAGATTTGTTCTGTATACAGAGGAACTGGGAGGGCTTATTAAAAACTTCTCACCAATAAAGTAATGATCTTCTAGTAAATTTTGCGTATAGTTTTATTAATATTTTATTTTATTTAAGCATATTATTTTTGTTACAGTCAATACAAGAGATTTAATATTACTTGCTCGTTTTTGCGTAAAATTATCAATATTTATTTTACTTGTAATTACCTTTGAAATTATTTTTCAAGTTTTTATTTCCAGAACAACATGTGAAAAGGGCAAACAAGCTTTTTGTAAACAAACCTTTGTAGGCCCTTTTCTCACCAACCGAGGGTCGCCCACGCAAATCAGCAATATCATCGGGAAGGGGAAAATGTCCCCTACCCGGTGATGTTAAAGGTTTGCGTTGGTGTCATATGGGTGGCGAGAAAAGGGCATAAGAAGGTTTGTTTACAAAAAGCTTGTATGCCCTTTTCACATGTTGTTCTGGATTTGTGATCTGAAAATTTCTCCAGTTTGGTTAGAAGTTTCGAAGCTAACGCATGTCCACAGGCCTAATAGAAAGATAGGCAGAAAAAGTGTATCATGAAGAATGGCTGCATGCAGGGTTGCTTCCACTCACTTGCTATACATGGGGGATTTTCGGAGTTTTGAATTCGTTAGATGTTGTAATGGAGATTTGTGTTGTTGGATGCGGGAGGAGATTGGAGGGCGGGTGTTTGACGCATAGAGCCTGTCAATTTCGCTTTCAGAGTGTCGCAGTCAGCGGTTTTAGGACTCGTGAGCGCTCGCGATTCGTAGAAGTGTGGATTTGTGTGGATTTGACGGGTTTTGTGTGTCGGACGCTTGCTTTTTGGCCTCTTCTTGTGTCTATCATGTGGAGAGTATCATTAAAGCGTCTAATGGTTTTGAGATTCCTGGCGGAGTGAAATATATTTGTGAGAATATCTTTTTGAGCTTTTAGCAGACACGTATTGTTTGTAGTTTATATTTTATTTCTTTCATGTAATTATCGTAAATAATAGTTATTCGATAATAGGTTCATCCATATATTCGTACTTTGACGCGAAGCGCTGTGATTTATAAGATGCTCGATGACCCTGGAGGGATCGATTTTGCTTACTGAGCAAAAAATCATGGATTTAACCCCAAGCTCTTCCACTGCACAATAAATCACCACCATTTGTATATTTGATATTGAACATTAACCTCGGAATCTATTTGCATATCAAGCGAAAACGTAGTCCTGTATTGTCGCGAAGCGTTATGGTTCTGAGATGCTCGATGACCCTGGAGGGATCGTTTTTGCTTACTGAGCAGAAAATCATGGGTTTAATCCCAAGCTCTCCGGCATGACTCCTAAAATTCATTATCACTAAACAAAATGAATATGTTCTTTCGATAGCCGGCTATCGAGAGATTAAATAAACAACAAATAAACAATACATACTGTTGATTGCATCGCCAACTTGAGGTGAATCCTAACCGAATACCCTACCCAACCCTCTAACTCCGTAGCACTTATGAGGATGTCGCTTAGTCAGTGGCCTCTCGTTAAGTGAGTACTACATCAACATTTCCTTCCCTATCCCTAGTTATGGTAAAGATGGGCGTGTCCGGGAATAGCGACAGTCAGGCATGGAAAATCATTTACATTCATTTCATACATTCATTTACATTCGTTTGCCTCTAACTTTTTTCATCAACAGTATTCCGCAAAATGATGTATAGAGCTTTGCTTGGTTTTGTTATTAGCTACAACTTTTGCCCGCAATTCAAATCTGTATTTCTTATTCATCACGAATTAGAGCGGGCAGAACTCGTTACTGTTTTTCAGTGAATGTAAAAAAATGAATGCAAATGATTTTCCATGCCTGGCGACAGTCATGCTTCTGTAACTCTTGTTTAGATTGGAACCAATGTTTACTCCTCAGCATTATTCCTGAAAGTAGTCTAACTGAGAATTTTAGAAGAGACGTGAGTGTCGCTAACGCTATATAATCACATTTATTTTAAATAGTTCCAGTACTCCAAATTTAATACAAATTTTGGATTTCGGTTCCATTTGTAATGCAGATTACGAATATTCAATAACATCAATACCCTAGGGTCTAATTCCCCCTTTATGATCTCCTTTCGGATCGTAATAAATACACCAGTTTTTTTTTGTAACAGACTGTTTATTCCTTAGCTCTACTAGGTGATGGTTGATTTAAAAGGAAATATCATGCATTAAAAACTACTCGTCTCAACGTATTTTTCTCAGGAGGCTTGCTTAGTCTAAATAAACTCTTTAAATCTCAGTATAACATAGCTTTACATTATGGCTGAACACACACATAATAAGAAACAGCAGTGGTCGTAGATCATCTGCAGAGAAGGTAAAACTGGACGAAACAGTGTGGCACAAAAAGTATGAATCATAACCGGTGTTCCCTAGCTAGATTTAAGTAAACACAACAAACAAAAAAAAAATAAAATTGCAACATAGTACCAGCATCGGAGAAAGGTTCAACACTTCAATTTTTGCTCATTTCTAACGTTGTGCTGTTGAGTGCACTTATTTTGTTTTTCTTCTAACCACCAATTGAGTACATACTGTCAGCAGTGGGTGGAATCCGTTGACCTACTGTCATAGTTTGTGTCAATGATTTCATTTTAGCTAACGTGATATTAGATTTGTTTTTTAGTCATGTGACTTGGCCGTCTTCAGCTCTTCCAATTCCTCCTCGGAGTCGACGGAATCCTGTTCGTCATCGGAGCCATGAAGCGATGGAGCCGGAGTGGTATGTCCTGTGGATGGGAGTTGTTTGGTTGAGGTGTTCTATTTTGGGTGCACTAAGGCGAGTAATACTTACTGGAAGAGCTTGGGCTTGGTGGCGCACTGACGGGGCGTGGATAGTTGAAATCACTAGCTCGCTTCATATAACTTTCCGATTCATCAACGTAGTCTGAATACACGGCCTGCAATGCTTTTATTCTAGCTTGACGATAGTACTGGAACGATAAAATGGAAGGTTACAGAAGCTACGATTATCAGAGTTTCCAATAGACTTACGATCCCCAAATTTCTCCAATCAAGCAGGTCGCTCAGACGTTCCGTACGGTTTCGCTGGATGATTCTCTGGCGACGATTCAGTTTGCAAAATTCGAACATAAACTTCGACAACTGCTGAACGCTCTCCTCCACGGCCACATGACGTCGATCGACGATGTAGATACCGTAGGATTTCGGATCGGCAATGTGTTCCTGCATGAAACAACCAAAACCGGACAGGTTGGTCGTAATGCTTGGGATACCCATCACGGTGCATTCAGCCGGTGTGTAGCCCCATGGTTCATAGTACGAAGGGAAAACGCCCAAGTGGCAACCGCGGACAAACTCCTCGTAGTCCAGCCCAAATAGAGGGTTGGTCTGGTTCAAAAACTCGGGATGGAAAACGATCTTGACGCGATCGTACTTCGTATTGAACAGGTGACAACGTCGAACCGATTCTAGAACCGGATCATTCCAATCATCTACGACGTTATGAGTGGTAACCGGTGGATTTCCGTCACGTTGTAGAGAATATAAACACCGCTTGATCTTTACCACGTCTTCCTTGGTCAAAATCTCACTACTATCTGGCAGATGTCCCTTCAAGCAAGTGTCGTACATTCGTCTGCCAACCTGTTGCTGAATAGTGTTGATAGTTTCACGCAGCTGCTTGGTCACGGCATGTCCACGAAGTGATTCCACATTGAAGTTATTGGTCTTCGCAGGGAAGATCAGGAATGCAACTACGGTCACATCTGGGTTGTGAGACTTCAGCAAATGATTCAGTCGAGCCAATGCTTCGATAAAGATATCTGCACCCTTGTTCGTAAACTCGTAGCGGCCAGCGATGAACATGTAAAGAGTTTTCTCCAAATCGAAGTTGAAGTGCCCGTAGAAATGACCCCTGGTGAATTCGTGGATTTTCTCCTTCGCCATAGCGTGCATATTTTGAAACTCGTGAATAGCGGAGAACTTTTTCACATTCAAACCATTGGGAGTGATAATATCCGGTTTGCGCTTGAGTAAGTGTTCCGCTTCGTATCCGGTAATCTCCGAAACAGTAGTAAATACATGAGCCAAATGAGAAGCAGCACGCTCCAAGCAATATCGATGGTAAATCTGTCGTTTGCCAGCTTCCTCGTCCACAGGGAACTTGTCCAAGTTATTGTAAAAGTCCGTATTACCAGCACACAGATATCGACCCAGCAGCGTAGCGTGAGTCGTGAACACAGTAGCCACATCTACGTGGCGTGTTCGGAGAGCGATTAGACCAACGCCAGCCTGCCACTCGTGGAAGTGGGTCACTATACGAGGGGGTCCGTATTCGTTATCGTGCGAGTATTGATCAGCGCAACGTTTAAACTGAAAGAAATCAATCACTTTTAAATTGAATGAAACCTGTGAAATCTAAACCTACCTCTTCAATGAAAGAGGCAATGGTATAACCGAGGATAACAGCATCATTGCACTCCAAATCCAGGTGAGGTATTCCAACGTTTGACGATTCCCATAGTTCATGCTTGTAGCCGTCCATTTTCCAAGCGGCCGATCCAATGTCGAATAGAATGATTTGAGGATTTCCATCGACCAACCACCGTCCGCAGTGAACCTTCCAACCTTGGCTCCGCATTGCCGATACAGCTCCGTACAAAGGGCCGTTGTTTGGAAACTCGCATGCTTCCACTTCGGTGCGGGCCGATGCTTCCTTGTATGGTCCGATCAGGCAGTACTGGTCACCCAGTTCCTCAGTCGATACGAATGCCTTCGATCGGATGACGGTATAGATTCCACCAACTGAATAAAGAACCTATTAGACCAATTTCCAAAAGGATCCAGTAAAGCTCGGTCAACGTACCTTTGTTGGCAACCTCCCATGCGATTTCAAAAGTCCATCGGTTTTCGTTGTTCGCTGAGTGTCCGCGGTCCAGAAAGGCTAGCAGATCCGAGCTGGACTCTGCTCGCGAAAAGCGTCGACTCATCCTGAAAACGAGCAGAAAGGAAAAAAAAACAGGTGGTTACACTAATTCACGGCTATTATGTGAAGTGTATCGGTTCAGACAGAGGGTCGCTATTTTTATCCGCAGACAGTTTAAACAGACGCATCGTGATCGTCGTGCCACAACCAAGGTAGCGTACATTGATACCGGAACAGATGTCGAGCAGAAGTGGTTGGATTAAATCAGTCTGAAGTGAGACGGAACGGCTCGATGATAGAATTAGAAGTGATTTGGACTTTTATTTCATGACAAATTGGTGCCACCTCAAACAAAATCAAGCAGCTTCATTTCAATGGTTTCGTTGAGAAATACGTTTAGTGCTAGGAATATTTTTTTTTAAATTAAAAAAGAATATCTGGGAATCAGTAAGATAGTACAGTTTTATGCAAATTTGTGAATTCTTAGAAACATTGCAAATCTTGCCTCCTTGATTTGTTTTCCTTCGATCTTGTTTTCCGTGCTGAGCACCAATGCTAGCGACGCCAGGGAGGCAGCTCCAACACCTGGACTCTACCACCTATCGACTCATCAAACTCATTAACCGGGGACCAACGGCTTTACTTCCGTTCCGAAGGAAGACGTGATCAGAGATGTTATGCCTCAGAACATCCCGGCGGCGCCGACTGGGATTGAACCCTGGCCTGCTGGGGTGAGAGGTAATTACGCTTACCACTACACCACCGGCGCCGCTGCAATGTAAATCTTATCGATCGCTCATTTGTTCCATCGTGTGTTGAGATTGATAATATCATCATTAACAATTAGTTGATCTCTCTGTTTGTGTGTGTTGTTATGTCCTTTTAACAGAGATGGTACACACCAAAAAATTATGAATTTTAATGGTGATGTAAATATCTATGTATGCTAAAATGGAAGCATGTAAACTTCCTTTTTACGTAAACTAGCAACTTGCAAGAAATATTGCTTACAAAGATGGATGGTTGCATACAATATTTAGAATATTTCATTAAATGACTCATACATTTACACGATCTGTAAAGTGAATTTGTATGGTATGTGACGCTCCATTTATGTGGGAGCGTTATCAGTGATTGCGGGAGCGTTATCAGTGATTGCGGTGGTTCAAGGAAAATTAAATAAAGCATTTCTGAAAATATGACGCTGCAAAGTCTCTAGGCCAATCAGGTGAGATCTTTCCATTTTATCTATTTATATTTTATTTTTTGTCACTGATTTATCAAATGCTCTATATTGACGAATAGAGTTGCCAAATCATACACCCTCCCACTAACACAACTCTTTCCTTCCTGTGACACCTATGAAGGTAGTATTATGGGTTCCCTGCACCTTCTTAAGTAGATGTTGGATTAACTTTCCCTCCCTTCCCCTGCGATTGTAAGGATGTGGCCAGGTGTATAATGCGATGCTTGTATTGTAGATTTTATTTTCGTGTGGGGAAAATCACTAATCCCAAGTGATATTTTCTGCGTCAACACTCGATATTTTCTGCAAAACGTATTAGTTGACCATTATATAGCCACCCACGATTTGTACAATCGCATATGCTATGCTATGCTATGTGACGCTCCATTTATGTGCATCATAGTGACAGAAATTTACACTACTTTTTCGAACTGTGTAGTCGTAAGATACAGTGAATGGATAAAGAATACCAATCGAAATCGGCAATCGAATGTGCAGGAAGGCAGCTTCCACACCTGCGTAGGATATCGAATCCATTCAACACATGGGACGGGACCAACGGCTTTACTTCCCTTCCGAAGGAAGACGTAACCAGATATTTTGATGCCTCAGAAATATCCCACCGTTCTCGGCTGGGATTGAACCCAGACCCATTGGGGTGAGAAAGCAGTCACGCTTACCACTACATCACCAGCGTCGGCAGCTAGGTGCAACTTGATTATGACTAAAATTAGTTCTATTGCAGTTACCTCAACCGGTTTGTGACAAGTGTGCTACTAGTAAGGGCAATTCAGGTGAGATCTTTATTTTTTTTTTTTAATAATCACGTTTTCTTTCTTTCCAAGCTCATCAATTAATAAATAAGGTCTACCAAATGTTTTATCTTGCCAAATAGAGCTTCTTAATCATGTAACGGTAACCGGTCCTCACCAATACAAATATCCCATACTCGTGATATCTATGTATGTGGAATGGATTCTATGCACCTTCCTGTAGGTTCGAAAATATGCTTTTTCATTTGTTTTAAAACTTTTGCAGTGCTTTTAAAATGGTCATAAAAATGTTACATATTTACTACAATGCCTTTCCATTTTTGGAAACACGACTTCATCAGCTGTTTTTTTTCCTCCAATTTTGTACCAATGCTTTCCAGATACCTTTTGGTACCTAATATCTGGTCATCTGAGCGTCTTGTTCACCATGTATGTGTGGCACCAAACGGCGTTTGTTCTCCATGTTAGGAGCGGCTGATCATCGTCCTAGTGCCAGCGTGGGACTCTAAACAGAGCTGTGCATGATGGTGCTCCAGTGAGAAAGGGGGTAGGGGCAGGCCCAACAAGCCGCCCTGGAAAAAATATTAAGTTGCAAATACCGATCGGATCAGGCGGCACAGACCTACGCGACGAAATAAGGACTAAGATTGGAAAATCGGACTAAACAAAAGGTATGGAAATGCAGGCATCGAGCGGCAATTTTCTACCACAGCTGTGGCACCACCAACGATCTGGAAACCGGCTTTGCAGTGTTGGGTAAGATGCGTCAACGCGTGATTGGTTGGCAGCCGATCAACGCAAGGATGTGCAAGCTGAGGATTAACGGCCGTTTCTTCAACTACAGTATCATCAACGTGCACTGCCCACACGAAGGGAGACCCGACGATGAGAAAGAAACGTTTATGCGCAGCTGGAACAGGTGTACGACGGCTGTTCGCAACGCAACCAATTCGATCACGAACGGATATTCTTCTCCGACATTATCAACGTCAGCACGTATCGCAGTGTGAACACAGATTCGGACCACTACCTAGTAGGCATGCGCTCAAAACTCTCGACGATTGAGAGGTGCAAGCAGTAAGTTGACGAACACCTCAACGGTGATGCAGCAGAAATCAAAGGTAACACGGCAACTGAGTTTGGAGCACGAGCAGAAAACGACAGGCGAGGAGATCGGTCGGCTGAAAAACAACAAAGCAACTGGTGTAGATCAACAACTAACGGTGATGTAGCACTGGCTAGGGCGCTGCACTGGGTAATTGCCAAGGTTTGGGAAGATGAGATATTACCGGAGAAGTGGAAGGAAGGCTTCGTATGCCCAATCTACAAAAAGGGCGACAAGTTGGATTGCTGCAACTACCGCGCGATCACACTGCTGAGCGCCGCCTACAAAGTACTCTTCCAGTTCGTGGTGCAGTATCAGACGGGATGCATGGGTGCCCGCGCTACCACGGTCCAAATTTTCGCGATACGGCGTGCCGCCACATCATTTGTTCATCGATTTCAAATCCGCATACGACACAATCGATCGAGATCAGCTATGGCAGATTATGCACCAGTACGGATTTCTGGTTAAACTGATGCGATTGGTCAAGGCGATCGAGGTGATGGACTTTCGTGTCTGCTATTTAACATCGCTTTAGAAGGTGTGATAAGAAGAGCTGCGATAGAAACGAGTGGCACGATATTCAGGAAGTTCATCCAGCTTGTTGGCTTCGCCGATGACATCGACGTCATGGTACGCAACTTTGATACGATGGCGGAAACGTACATCAGACCAGAGCTGAAGCTGGGTGGATTGCACTTGTCATCAACGCATCGAAGACGAAATACATGAGAGGAAGAGGTTCTAGGGAAGACAATGTTAGCCTCTCACTCCGAGTTCAGATTGACGGTGACAAAATTGAGGTGGTCGACGAGCTCGTGTATTTGGGCGCACCACTGAAAATGATACCAGCAGAGAAATTCAAAGGCGCATTTTGGCAGGGAGTCGTGCCTACTTTGGACGCCGGAGGACGCTCCGGTCGAATAAAATTCGCCGCCGCACGAAGATGAGTATCTACACGGGAACAAATCCATTCTCCGAAATGAGAAAAATTACTCATGATTTCATGAACATAGCGTATTTTCATGTTATGTTATTTTGCCGAGCAATAAAATCAAATTAATGTATATTAAAATCAAGGGGTCGGCCGAGTTGAAACGTCTAAGTCAAACGATCTGGTTGACATTATGAATAGCATTGGGCGATCTTAAGGCAAGAATCGGTCTTAGTGAATCGATTAATTGTTTTGAAAATAATCGATTCACCGATTTGATCAATCATTTTGAACCGATCTTTTTAAATCGATTAATTTTCCGAATGGCTCAATTTTTTTTTAAATATAACGGATCATAGGAAAGTTGGTGCAAATTAAGCCAAGTTCAGTCTACACACTAAGAAATTTTTGCAGAACTCTGTAAAATTTTACCGAAATCTCAACAGCTCCATATAAGAGGCATGTTCTCTTCTGCATAAGGGAGCATAACCTCCTCCATGATTTATTTGTATTCAAATCTGGTCACGATGGAATTAATACGGAAAATGGGACCTACTCCATCGTAAGAAAAACATGGATGGTCTACGTGAGAATATAGTAAATGACTATTTTGATTTCATTTGACATGTGGAAGTTTTTGCTCAGGATTCTTGATTAGGTAAGTGATGTAACAGGTTATAATATTCGGTTTATCGGTATTAAATTAACGATTTAAAAAACGAAAAATTAACATATGAAACAAAACGATTAGATGGTCAGAGTGTAAAAGTAGGTAAGTACGGGAAATACTTAATTCAGATATCCCAAAACTCATCCGAGAGGGATCCCAAGAAAGCTAATTGAGCCATGCCTTTTTCATTGAGCCGATATCGATTCTGTGTGGTTTCACCAGTTTTAAAGAATAGCCTCTCTGACGGAACACTTGAATAAACAGTGTCAAGCAATGGGGATTACATGGGGATATACACTACGAATTTTCTCCCATCATCGAAAAAGATCGACAGAAC